ATCCTCACACACACACACACACACACACACACACAATTAAATACAAAGAAAACGGAAACTACCAATTAATACTCACACTACATTGACTTCTTCTGACATTTCTTTTTTATAGGGTTTTTAGTTTGGAATATGCATACATACAGGCATTACACACACACATATACACACACACTTACATACTTAATGCGTTTACATTACATTTTTTCTTTTGCAAAAAATGGTTCATAAAAAGGGTAACCCATGTTTTAGGGTACCAAGAATTAGGTTTTGGCTAGTTCCTTATATTTTTTTTTTCATTTTATTATATCAATAATTACTAATAAACATTTAAAATACTTATCAAAATATTAAATGTTAATTAGGGTAATGTTAGAAATAAAATATTAAAGATTAAAATATTTTTTAAAAGAAATGTATTTTTTAGACATATCAAAATTATGTATTAACTTTAATTTTGATCAAAATTACTTCTAATCTTTATTTCCTATTTAATTGTAAAGTCTTTTTTACACTGTAAAAATTGCAGACAAATATATTTTAAATATTTTGAATTACCCAGTAATTGGTTGATATATATATATATATATAGTTGTTTTAGTTATATTTTGCTATTGTATTATGTCATATTTAATTATAAGTTTTGGCAGTGACTACCATTTTTTTTTTGTACCACTTATTATTATGTTTGATTATATTTTTTTTAACATTTTTCTATTATTTTCATTGTCTTTAATTATTATTTGTTATTATATATAATTTTGAAAAATTATTGATCATCATTTACTAGTGTAGTGTTGAAGGTAAATTCATATTACCAATAGCTATCAACTATTTATAAATACTAATTGACCACATTAATTAATAATAACTATTAATAATTAAAAATAATAATAAAGTATATTCAAATATAATTCAAAAATATCCAATAATAACTCCACATATCTTAATTATGTGTGTGTCTGTGTGTGTTTCTCATAATTATCCTTTCAAACGTTTAAAAGTTTATTTGGATAAATTTCAGAAATAGTTAATTAATGTATACTAATAGTAGTAATTAAATGACAATAACGCATGATTTGGATGACAAAATATTTTTACGTTTGGATGATGATATATTAATGTATGTTAATGACATATTTTTATTTGAATGATAGGATGATATAGTTGTATTTTCAGCTAAATTAATAATTTACCTATATATATTATATGTAATAGTAAATGGTATAAAAGAAGCATGTAAAGAAAAAAATAAATTATTTATCAATATAATTATATTTTTATTTAAATAAATAATTATTATACATAATCAAATTAAAATTTTATATTTAATAAAATAAATAATTATTATTTATATTATTACATTAATTTAATTATCAGGATAAATATGAAATTAATTAAATTAGATTAGGGTATAATGGGAAACAAATAGCATGCCGTTCAAATACCACCACTTCGGTGATTTAACAATTCATCCTAAAATTTACCAGTCAAATATCATTTGTTACAATTAGAAGTTGAAACAAACACGGTTTTCTCACGCTCTTAAAATACCATACATTAAAATTTTACTATTCATCATGATCCAAACAGATGGTAAAAAGATAATTGAGTGAGAGGAAGTTGTTGAATTAAGAAATTTTTTCATTTAAAATCTTTATTTCGAGCTTAATTCATCACACATTTTATTATTATATGTGATTAAGTTAATTCCTACGAAATAACTTTTTTTAAAAAATAAAATTAATGTTGTCAAGAATAATATTTATATTATATGTAAAAGATAAGAATGAGACGACTTGACATACTTTAGTAATGAATTGAACCACCGTCTATATAGTTGATTGCTAAGTGCAAAAGCCTCATAACAATTTCGAAAATGAGATTAAAAACACACTCCATGAACAAAGTAAGAATTTCCCAATCAAAAGTTATATACAACATACTTCCTTATAAAAGCAATTCAATAATGTGATAAGGTGTGCCTAATTACACATAATTTTAAAAAAAGTTACTATTAACTAAATTAATGAGAGATTTATCTAAAAACTTGGTATTTTATACTATTAATCATTTATTTTATATTCTTAGAATTTCAAGTAACTTGTTTAAATTTTTTAATCTCCACAAGACTATTAGATCGATTTGAGTTAAGAGAAGACTAAAATTATGCCATTTACTTTAGAGAATAGATTCTCATTTTTTTTCTTTGTTATAAAGAGATGCAAAAGTAAAAAAAAAATTAAAAAATTGTCATGCACATCCTAAGAGACATCTATGATATTATCAGTGAGGAACTGCTGGAGATCATTCGACATTTGAACATTTGTTCATTTCACGATAAATATATTAAATTCAAACATGTCAATCATACAACATTAAGTGCTTGATCGCATGGACGATGACAGCATGTGCATTAGTATCATAACCCTCCTTAATGAGTAACTGCACAGCTAGAGAACTATCCATTTCTAGGATGATGTTGCAAAACCTAGTATTCCAAGCAAGTTGAAGGTCATCGAAAGCTCCCAAAAGTTTAGCCTATAATATCTATTAGCTACCAATTCTTCTACTGAAACTTCTCAAGTAAACACCATCCTTGTCTCTGAAAAGTCTGCCACAGCATGAGAGATTGGTTATAACACAATAAGTACTATCAGTGTTTACCTTGAGCCATCCTCTGCGTGGTTTCTGCAAAGTAATAAGTTCTTCAGATCTGTGCGTCATACTTGAAAGAAAGAAAAGATTCATATTAGTAGTCGTAAAAGTATAATCAATCATGAGAAAAACTTTCTTGGCAAGCTCCTCGATATTATTATCACTCCTTTGGAAAATAAATTTTTTTCTATCGTTCCACAAAATCCAACAAGTAAGGCCAAAAGTTGCTCTCCAATCCTGAAATGTCTTACACTATAACCAACTATTTTTGAGGTTTAACATTAACCAACCATGTAAAGTAACACTGAAAAAAGTTGATTGGGCTTCGACAAGAATGATTTTCAACCACAACAGCTTAGCAACGCTATACTCATGAAGGACGTGATCCGCGTCTTCAATAGGTCTGCCACACCAATTGTATTCCGCAATAGGGGTTATGTGACGCTGTTATCACTCCTAATTCGTCAATAGCTTTCCCTTAGCAACCAGCTAAAGGAAAGTACACATCCGCTGGGTACTTGGGCAACACCAAATATCTCTCAAATTCCTATCCTCCAAATGCCAATGATCACTTTCCAGAAGAATGTAAGTTGAGCTAACCGAGAAGCATCCAGAGCTCATCATACTCCAATAGTAAGAATTCAGAATATTATCCTATTTAGGAATCAGCATCGCTGTCATCTAGAGCAGCGTACCTATTGGCAACACCTAGTGCAAGACCTCTCAATCCCATTAGCCAGACGGCATTACGTAGTCTCTGACACTTTTATGGAGATCTTGCTCCTTAATAGGCGCGAAGACTAGAAGCTTAAGCAGCCCCAAATCCTTGACTAGCAATCTTCTCAAAACCAAACATTTTTTCCAGAACCAATGGACCATTTGATGTCTACTAGAAAGTCCGTCCAAAGATGGTTGAGGTTGCACCAAAGATAGGAGGTCGTCCCAGTTGGTTTGTAGCTCCACAACAAGTCAGGTCATTTGTACTTGTGAGTGAGAACCTGAACCCATAGGAGGTTGGGTTTAACCACCATTCCAAATCTTAGATCAATCAAGAAAGGTTGGTTTTGCTTATGAATAAACTAAAAACAGCTTCTTCCAGCATCACAAGGCATGCACGTGTCTTCCCAACTGACAAGGTTGACTTTTTTGTTGCCATTAACCTAGCCCCAAACAAACTTCCTGATCACCGCTTCAATCTGATCACATAAGATTTTGGTTAAGGTCATGGTCTGCATAGCATAAGCAGAGATAGTCATAAGGACGGACTTGACCAAAGTTAAACATCCTGAAAAAGAGAGGAGGTTAGCATTCCAGCCAAACAACTTCTGGTTAATTTTCTCAATGATATAGTGATAAATATCTTTATTGACTCTATCGTGTAACAATAGAACACCAAAATATTTATCAAGGTTATTAGAGACTTGGAATCCAAAATTCTTGCTAATACAACTAGTTTTACATGTGTTAACATTACGAGAAAAGAAGATAAGTGTCCTACTTTAGTTACAAAGCTTCGAACATGAAGATTCCAAAGTTATTTTCATCTTCTCATGTTACCTTTAAAGATTATATATGGTTGAGTATTATAAAATTATGATAAAACTATAAACACAAAGAGATAGAGATATTTTTAAATCACAGTAAGCCAGTAATTATT